TGGTAAACTAGATCTCATAAAAATTTAAAATTGGTTGAAATTATAATTGATAACTAAGGTTTGACGGATAGAGTTTAATTAGGTTTTGAGTTTTTTTTTTTTTTAATTGAAAATCAAACATAATCGCACTTGGGGTTTCTGGTTCAGTGACATCAGGCTACACATAAGTGCATTCTTCTTACCCAAGGTAACGGTTCAAAGTCTACTTTTTGCGAATTTGATAAAAAAAAAAAAATCAAACTCAATCAATTTCAAAAGATTTGAATTTTAGTTTTATATCTAAAAATAAAAAAATAGATGATTAAGATGAATATAACCATCGAATCCAAGCAAAAACCTTTTTATTTAAGTGTTTTAATGGTTTCAAATTTTTTTTAAGTTTTCTCATCAGTTTCCAACAAATTATTTATTTATTTGTGTAATTTTTATTTTTTAATAATTAAGATGATAAAATAACAATTAAGAATTTTTTTAAAAAAACTATTAAAAAATATGAAAATAATTTATTAATTAAAATTGAAACTAATCTAAATGGTTATTCTCCGCAAATTAACCAATACCTACAAAATCTTTTTTTATTATTATTAGTTTTTCAAATTTAATAACCAAAATTTTAGTTAACCAATATTTTGGTTTCGATTAAAACTGAAACCGAACCGTGACCATTTGAGAACAAAAGAGCACGCGAGGTGAAGGGTTCTCTTCCCGGAGCCATAGCCGCCCCGAAAGGGGGTCTCGAACTTAGCCACCCTTCCCAAGCACGATCAAGAGAAAGAGGAAAAAATCTAGAGGTGAGATCAGAAAGGATGCCCTGAGCTGCGTAAAGAAGGAGAACCGATTCCAGAACTCACGGCAGGAATTGAGACGCGAACCAGAGAAGGAATCGAGGCAGAAACAAGAGGAAGAGTAGAAGCAGGGACTTCGGCGAAGTCAGGTATCTCTAAAACTTGAGGTGAAAATCATATTAGGATCCTGTATTCATCTGAAGAGTCAAGCAAATTCAGGGATTTCGAGAGTATCAGGATGTTAACTTTAGGAACATTAGGTGAATCTGGTGTTTGATACTGTTGATTTTATCATCAAATTTTAATTGAAAATTTTGAATTAGATGGTTTTCTGGTGGTTGTTAGGAAGAACTAGAATCTCTAGTTGTGTTTGTGGATCCAAGAGAGGATATGAGTACCAGCAGAAATGCAGCCTGGTTAATGTGAAGTTGAAATGGGTGAAAGATAAGGCATTGGACGCAGCTGTTGCTGGTGAAAAGGATCTTAGAGCAGCTTGCAATCTTGTTTCCATCATTGCTGCTGCTCCAAACTTCTGCCTTCCAATCTATAGTCTTCTCCAGCATCGTGGCCAACTTGGTTTACCCCAAAATTTTAAGCTCTCAACATTTATTAGGAAGTACCCCACAATTTTTCATGAGTCTCATGTTGTGGACAGTGGTGGCACCTGTGTTCCATGCTTTGAGTTAACACCTGAAGCCCTAAATCTTTACCATGAACAACTTATTGTTCTCGAGCAGAATCTGAAAGAACTACTTGACAGGCTTTGTAAACTGTTGATGCTTACCAAAGAAATGACCCTCCCTCTGCAAACAGTGGACCAGCTGAGATGGGATATGGGATTGCCTTATGATTATTATGATTCATTGATTTCTCATCACCTTGATTTGTTTTCTTTGGTTCGCCTTCCTGATGATCGGGTTGGCTTGAAACTCCGAGCTTGGGATGATAAGCTTGCTATATCCCAATTGCAGAAGAATGCCCTTTTACAACAAAAGGAAGATATGAAAAATAACTGTTTAGCCTTTCCAATTCAATTTACCAGGGGTTTTGGACTGAAAAGGAAGTGCATGGAGTGGTTAGAAGAATGGCAGAGACTTCCTTATACTTCACCTTATGCTGATGCCTCTCACTTGGATCCACGAACTGATGTCTCAGAGAAGAGAATTGTGGGTTTGTTTCATGAGCTTCTTCACCTAACTATACAAAAGAAAACAGAGCGCAAGAATCTAAGTAATCTGCGCAAACCATTATCCCTTCCCCAGAAGTTTACAAAGGTTTTTGAGCGCCATCCTGGCATCTTCTATATATCTAGGAAGTGTGACACCCAGACTGTTGTTCTTCGGGAAGCCTACGATCGTCAACAGCTCTTACACAAGCACCCTCTTGCTGATGTCAGGGAAAATTTTGCATGCATGATGAGGAAAGGATTTCTAGATAGAAGCAGGGGCTTATCGAAGATTACTGCTTCTGCTAATCCAAGAGAAGTGGTTGCTTATGGCAATAAACTTGGTGACAGTGATCTTCATAAAGAGGCAGGGTCAGATTGTGATTTGTTTTCTGAATATGAATCGGATGAGCATTTTTTTGACCATTCCTGAATTGTATTTCACTGCATCTTGTGTTTTTGGCTTAAAATAAAATATAAAATATAAAATATAAAAAACTTGCACAGTATCAGCTGTGGATAGTTGGATAATGTTTTGTAAACCTAGTTTTATGGACGTTCTTCGTTTTTAGTGTTGAGGCTTTCTCATCATCCTTTGACGTCCTTTGTATGGATTAGGCCTTCAATGATGTGTCTGGATTTCTGCTATTTGCAAATTCTCTGGATCATGCAAACACTGCAGGACTGTTACTTGAGGTTTCCTACATTTATTTGATTTTAAATTGTTTGGTTCTATTCTCTGTGAAAGGCTTCTGGAATATCAATGGAAGGTACAAATGAGTTTGAAATTTGATTTTTCACTCTGTCTTGTTTTAAAAGTTTGAATTCACCAGTAGAGGTTTGACTTACTTGTTTTCATTCATTATCCTATTGAAGTCAGTGTTCTTTAGGAGTGAACAGACTAGAATGGGCATGATGGATGGATATGAAATTCTGGGTGGGGCGATTTATCTTTTGCACTAAATATTTATAGTATATTGTCTTCTTAGAGTATTTTCTATTATAGCAATTCCCTTCTTCCGTTAATGCAGTAATTTGTGGATTTGCAATTTTCAATGGACAGTTCACTTATGCGACTGGTGAGGGGCTGACCACAAGTGCCTTCTACCAATTTGTGGGGGCCTTCTTCAAGTTCAGGGTCAATAACCAGGAGAGATGAAATATAGCTTCTCTTGCAAGGTATGGCCATTAACGCTTTTTAGTTTAGCTTACCAGGCTAGTAAAAGGATAATTTTTGTTTATAAATAACTGCAATCAAGCATTTTCAGAGTTAATCTCTTGGGCACATTCTGGAAGCCAAAATTTATTATTTGGATATTTTACCAAAATAAGTGGGGAACACAAATCACACCAGTGGTATGATTTCCAGACTCTGGGTCTTTTGCAGGCATTGTGACAGAGGTCTGGTCTGATGATGACACCAGCCATCCAACTCAGGTAAGAATTTTTCATTTCTGTTTGGCTGCACTTTACAAAAGTTTGCAGAGTCATGTGCTTGCATTCACTTGACCCTGCTGTATGGAGGTGCTTCATTGCTTTTGCTAGTAGGTCTTTCAAGTGCTTCACTAACTCCTAAAACAAATATGAGTTTGTTTGCTTGCTGCATCTTTTATATGGTGCACACAAGCACTTATGAGTATTAGACTTAGTTTTGCACATTGCAGCTGTTCCTGTAATTTTTAGGTTTAATTTTTGGTTGCCTTGCAACTGGTGAAAGTATTGATCATCAAACAAAATCAATAACTCTGGAACCTAAGAAGAGGTATTTAAGTGTTTGACTTTTCTGTTGAATGAGTTTCATTGGTGTAGAAGCTTGTGTGTGTAGTCAAAGCAATTGAGGGTTGCCTATTGGAGAAACTATTCTACTACATATTTCACATGCAAAACTATTTTACATGCACTGTCTACCAAAGAAGATAGGAAATGCAAGGTCTGTAAATTATAAAGTATTTTGTATGTGGTCTTCTCATGCTTCACAAACTTTTCATGGTAGGAGACAATCATCCCTATCCATTCATTTGAACTCTATTTAATTTACTTGTCACATCGAATGCTGGACTTCTTGCATATTTATTTGGTATTTATTGCACTAATTTTTCACTCATCATGTTTATGGAAATTGTAAAAGACGAGTGAGATTTTGGGGGAATTTAATTAAAATGGATGTTTGAAGTAACTTGTCCCTTTTCATTCCACAAATTGAATTCTCAAGAATCAAAAGGAACTAAACTTAATTTCAAAAATAGTCCGTTGGACCAACATTCGTCACTGCTTCAATCTCCCAGTTTCAATTTACTCAAATCATGATCAGTTCCCATCCTGAAAGGGGGATTAGACTTGTTTTCCTTTAGAATAATATTCTCAATCTTAAAGTCTATGTAACAGGAGTTAATGAGTTCTATTGGGTGAATGAATTGTAATTCTTTAACAAATCTTTTTCTTTTTATATTATAGTTTAAAAAAACAAAAAAATTGTGTTCAATACAGTCACAATCTCTCATCTTCAAGAGCCTACAATATTTCCCATAAAAAATGGTTACCTCTAGTCTCGGCCTCTTTCAATGAAATGGTGTGTGAATTAGTTGATAATCAAGTATTGCTTTCTGATTGATGGAAAAAAAAAAATTTTAATACTTTCTGATTGTTGCTCAACTTTATTGGATGTGTCCTGAGGTGCTACATGCTACGTGCTACCAGTCACTTTCGAGCTTATTCTTCTACAGTTCTACCAGCAAAGCAATCCAGCACCATATCTTCAAGATGATGAGCAAATTACTTTTAATATTTAGGAAATTCAACATTTAATTGAAGAGTCATTGACTTGAATCTTAACATTTAAATGCTCAAGTGTAGGTTGATTCTCTTGCCTCTCAAAATTTCATTGACAACTGCTGGAAATATGGACGTTTTCTTGTCTGAAATAACTATTATCAGACAACCAAGAACTAATTCTTAAATGGAACCTTATCTGTCATGTTGTTGTTTGAAGTTTTCGGGTGTAACCCACTTTATATAAACTCATTTAGTTGGATTGATGTTTCAAGTGTTTATTGTGTCCTGGAAATATTCAAGTGACTTTTGAAGAAGATGAAAACCCCAAATCCCTTGCAAATTCATATATATGTGAATTCGGTAAAAAAAAAAAAAAATCAAATTGAATGAACTTTACCCATGCCTCTTGCGTATATTATTAGGGGTGGGTACAGTTCAGTTTTAGTTATAATTGAAACTTTTTGATTATAATTGAAACTAAATTATTAGTTTACTAAAATTTTAGATTTTAAATTTTAATAATTATTAGTCAAACTGAAGAAGACAGGTTTTATTAGTTATTACATTTTTAATTGAAAAATGTTTTTAAATTTTTTGTTTTTTTTTTTAATTCTTTAATTATTATCTTATTAATTTCAATCACAAAAAAATTAAAAATTACTAAATAAATAAATAATTTGGTAAAAAATTTGCTAGAAAACCTTTATAAAAAAAATCTAAAAACCATTAAAATTTTATATAAAAGGTTTTTGGACTAAATTTTGTGGTTATACTTATCCTAATTATTGGTGTTTCAATTTTTAGACTTAACGACTAAAACTTAAACCATTTAAAATTGATTCAATTTGATTTTTAATCAAGTAAATCCAAAACCCAATTGAACCTTACTCAACAATTATAATTTAATCAGTTTTTAAATTTGTTTTTATTGTAAATTTTTTGGCTTACCCCTCCATATTATAATTATTTAGATACCTATCTTCACGCGTTGCAAACAAATCATGCAAAGAGAGCAAGCATCTCTTTCAGCTCATTTGAAACTTGTTTAATTTACTTTTCACAATCAATGTAGGAGTCCATGCATATTTATCTGAAGTCTATTTATCTTTATGCAAATTTTCTAAATCCGTTGTTTCTTATAATACTAATTAATAAACTATGGGTTTTTTTTAAATAAATGAATGAGATGTAGGAGGAAATTAAAATGTTGCTTATATCACATATTTTTGATTCTATGAACAAGAGTTTTTATAATAAGAACTCATATGGTATAGAAAGGAACAACAAATAGAGGTTAGTAATCCTCATTTCGAAGTATTGTTATTTCGTTATATTTCAAATAAATTTCGAACACATGGTAAGTTGCCCATAACAAAGATCATTTATTATATATCAACATAATCCATGCAAAATAGTAAAAAAAACAAAAAAAAAGGAAAAAAAGGAGAGACATCAAAGCCAACACCTAACTAACAATTTAGAACTAGAAGTGGACGACACTCTTCTGAACTTTTTTGTATTGTAAGATGTGATTTTCATGATAGAGTAATGAATTTGGCTGAAGTTTTTTTTTTTTTTTGGACTAGTAAAGTGAATGGTTAGAAATTGATTTTGTAATTGTTCAATTTTTTGACTTTGTAAATGAGTTTTTGACATGTCTTCCAAAATTCCTATTGGAAGATAATTTTTTACAGTTAAAAGTGGTCATCTGAATGAGATAAATGGATGCCTAAAGCCATATTAATTTAATTTAATTGAGTCATTGCTACAGCTTTTCCTAAAGTAGCCTTCTAAAAAATCTAAACCTTCAATTGCAAATTA